AACCAGAGTTAATTCTGAAAAGTGTATACTCTCTTCAACTTTGTCACCTTAATTCTTGTCCTACGAGATTAAATTTGGTATCATTGTGTTCGCAATAGAATTCTCTACAGCACTAAATGCATATAAACTCCAAAAGCCCGGCTAATTACCCGCAGCAAACAGAGAAAGTGCGAACGAGTTACCAAGGAGCGAGCAAAAGCCATAAAATGTGTTCACTCTTTTCACTCTGGTCACCTCAATTTTCATCCTAGGTCTTTCATTTTGGTATCAATGGGTTCGCAATAGAATTCTCTAGAGGAACATTAGCATATAAAATAAAAAACCTGGTCACGCTCCACCCGCTGACGAGTTGAAGACGGGCCACGCGTTAACCGCAAGTGAGCGCCCAGACGCCTTCCAGCTACACTCCCAATTCCTGCCCACAAATGTTTAGTATTTAGTATTTTAGTATATGTAGTACAAGCATACCTCAGTTTAAGAGTTTAATTGGTTCCTGGAGACGCCTCTTATTCCGAAGCTAATTTCCCTATAAGAAATAAAGGGAAATGAATTAATCCGTTCCTGACTACCCGAAAACCCCACATCAAACTAAATTTTTATACCTAATTCATCTAAATAAACCTACAAAACTATGTTCAAGTTATTACTTACCTTGCTGTTGAATGCTGTAGGCGTATGGAAGATGGTGAGGAGGGGGGAGGAGAGGAGGAGTTACTGTTTGGAAGGGGAGTCCCCATCCATTATCACATCAGGCAGTGAGGACCTTTCTGGTGTGCTCTTCCTGGGACGTTTTTATCTGGGTGCCACTAGGTTCTGGTTGAGGCTCACTGCTCGATTTCCTCACCACAAATCTGTCCAAACCCTGGCTTTCTCACAAATAATGGCCTCCGAAACACTATCACCCCTTAACTCCTTGTCGTGTATCCAAATTAATAACAACTTTTCCACTTCTTCAAGTATTTGTGGTCTTTGTTTCGTTATTGTTCTGACTCCTTTTGCCACTTTAGCACTCATAATCTCATTTTTCTTCTTAAGTATAGTGCATATTGTTGATGTGGCTTTGTTGTACTGCCTACAAAGTTCAACAACACGTGTACCGTTCTCATGCTTCCGAATGATCTCTTGTTTCTCCTCTATTGTCATCCTCACATGGGCTTTCTGGCCTTTATCCTTACCACTGGCTTTCTTGGGACCCATGGTGAGATATATAATAACATTGTATAGTCAAATCACAAAAAATCCAACAAAACACTGAAAATCCGCGAGAAGAATTGATGTGGGGTAGTCACTGGGCGCAAGACAATGGTAAACAGAGGGGTGACGATAGCCGAACCCCCACGTGCTGGGTCGGCCTGTACGTGTATCAACAAACTCGCGTTCCGAGACATATTTTCCGAGGAAATCCTGCTCATATTCCGAAAAACTCGCATACAGGGACACTCGCATTCCGAGGTACCACTGTATTATAGTTTAGTATTTTTTGTGTAGTAGTTGTACATCACATAAGCATTGTAGATACCCATTTGCACAAAATAGATGGTCATTTTCTTCATCCGGCAACCAGGAGGCCTGGTTGACGACCGGGCCGCGGGGACGCTAAGCCCCGGAAGCACCTCAAGGTAACCTCAAGGTATCCATTTGTGAGTTTTCCTTATGAAGTGATAATATTTGATCATTTGGTCAAAGTGATCAACACCTTTCATGTTTGTATTGTAGTCACAGATTGCATTCGGCTTGTTGACAGTTACCAAACAGTCCCCCCAAAATTGGATAAAAACCTGATTTTTGGCAATTATTTTAGTGGATGACGCAATGCTGCGTCATCCCCGAGATTACCGACAGTAAACCGATGACGCAATGCTGCGTCATGCCCGGACTAAAGTGTTAATCACTGGTAAACTCATATTCCTCTAAAATTGCTTGGTTTACCCCCTCCCCACACAAAAAAAAAAAAAAAAAAATAAGTTACACTTATTTTTTTTTTTTTTTTTTTTTTTTTTTTTTTGATAGTGATTTCTCCTTGCTCTATTGTGAGGACCTCCTAGAATGTCTTGTTGAATTCTTAACACACCACCTTGTCAGTCTGTGTATCTGTTCTTCCATTTTCTCCAGTTTCATCACTTGTTCCTTCAGTCCTGTATTCTGCCTGATGTGGCTGTGGAGCAGTTTTGTGGACTAACGACTTTGGTTAGGTCAAGGCTTTACTTTCGATGTCATTTTCATACTGTGTGTGTGCTGCTGTCTTCATTCTGGGATGCTCATTCCTGGCCCTCGGGTGTTCTGTTATTTCTGTAGTTTCTCAGTGTTCTTGTACTTAATTGCTTTGCTTTGTTTCATTCCTGATTGAACCATGGAGCATTTTGCTGCTTTTCTTTTGTTCTCCTTTTGGGCCGGGATAAACCTGTCTGCAGCTTCCTGGTACTTCTGGGTGACGTAGTCCATCGTATCATATACAGTCTATTCTCTTGAATTCTGTTTCCCATGGTATTCCCATTTGGAAGTTCATCTCATCATAGTTTCCTCTTCAGTAAGCCAGCCTTTTCCTTCCTGATCCCTTCCTTGGATATGTTATCCATACATCCACCAGATACTCAAATGTCAATATGCGGTGGTCACTTATTCCCATGGGGCTTCAGATTTGACTTCCTTTATTTCTGACTCATTAACCCTCAATCTGCTAGGGGTCCAAATGCCTATAACACCCACAGGCGCAATAAAAAAAAATCCCAAAAATTCTTTCGTCTTAGAAAAGTGTTCACTTTTGTTTCCTGATCACGGAAAAAATAACAAAAAAATCGTAGGTGGCATAATTTAGCTGCAATAGGGTAGGGAAGTCTGGCAAAAAAACAGCGTAGAATGTAATGAAACACCATTTTCTGGGTGAGCCCCGGAGGCTCCCTGGAGCTTATCGGGCTAATGTATGTTATATTAGACCGGGACATTAGCTAAGGAGTTCAGACCTACCAGGGATCAACACCAGAACCTGGCCCCTTCAGAGAGGTTTCAGGGAGCAATGGCCCTGGAAAACCCCCTTGTGGTTTGGGTTTTCCTTATGTCATCGACCGGGTTTAGGCACCCAGAAAGGTAGGCATAACAAAACAAACCCCACATGGTAAAAAACTAAAACACAAAAAAACGAACAGAGGTAGAAACACTCTACAATCCCAAGGAAACGAGCAAACAAGCAAACATCACACTTTACTGCCGCGCCGATCGTCCGCGCAGCCCTCACCGCCCCGAGAGGGGGAGGGGGGAGCCCCGGACCTACCGCGCCGGCTGCCTAGCATAAGTTCGGAAGCTAAGCTTCAACCAACGTGAAAAAAACGCCGACCGGTGGGAGGGAGGGTTACCAGGGAGCCTCTGGGGCTCGCCCAGAAAATGGTGTTTCATTACATTCAACGCTGGTTTTTTTGTGGGGAGCCCCTACGGCTCCCTGGAGCCTCATACCCAAAGAGAAGGAAAAGAAAGGGCTGACCCGGGAGGCGGCCCCCACAAACTCCGCAACGCAAAGCCGAGACAACAGGCTGCAACCTGCGACCTAAGGCAACAAGAAAGCACAGGAGCAGACGCGCATAAAGAATGGGGGGCCGAGAACCTGTGCGACCCTCAAATCCCTGCGGACAGCGTGGACAGCGCTCAGGATTCGTAGTCCTGAGGTTCCGGGTTCGATTCCCGGTGGAGACAGAAACAAATGGGCAGTTTCTTTCACCCTCTGTTCACCCCAGCAGTAAAATAGGTACCTGGGAGTTAGACAGCTGCTATGGGCTGCTTCCTGGAGGGGGGTGTAACAAAAAGGAGGCCCGGTTGAGACTGGGCCGCAGGAATGCTAAGCCCCGAAATCATATCAAGATAACCCCCTAAGCGCTTCTTATTGGGGTTGCTTAACCCTTTAACTGCGCAACACATCATATGATGTGTTCAATGACTTGCAGTAACTTGCGCTCCACATCATATGATGTATTGGAGTACTACGCAAGATTTAAACGGCCTGCGGATACACGGGGTTCACCACACCTTCATCAGGGCTCTTTTAAACAAACGCCATTTTTTTTTTTAAATTGTGGGTCAAATTCCCGGGTGCGTGGGGCCTCGGTATTGAATGAGCTACCAAGCCTGATACACGCAGCATGAGCTCACAGCACTGCTGTTCAGCTTGTGACCACAGCATCGCCTAAAAATGCCATAATATACATGTTCATGCTATTATGATATTATTACAGAAGACCCCTGAGTGATAAAAATGACCAGGATTCTGATAATAGCAGGATTGTTGTGATAATTAGCGCTGTAGTGGGAGGAGTAATCTTGGTGGGGAGGGAGATAGTGTTGTCTGCCGACTCTGTGTGACCACCTTTTACGGTCTGGACTCGCTCTACCAGCTTAGTTGTTTGCTATGGTAAACAAAACATGCAGATACTTATATATAACTTATCCATAAGTTATGTTTAACTACATGTTTATTCAGTGTTATGAACCAATAAGCACATCTGGCGAGTGATATTCTCGTAATAATTGATCCAAGATCAACCTGCATGTGCACACATGCACACACAGTGAGTGAGAGTAAGTAGGAGAGAATGTGTGTATACAAGTGAATTGTGGGGTTACATTAGCTGGGACCATTTGTTTTGAAGAATTATTCCCAGAGCCCATTGCAGGTTCATGGGAACTTGTAAAAGAAGATGTACCATATTTGGGGAAGCATTGTGAGGCTCTCATATTCACTTGTATATTGTCTTTCATTATTATCCCTTGTTATTTTGTATTTGATCTGAAACTTTATTAGACAAGCATTTTTTTAATTCAGTCTAATTTATATAAAAGTCATCACAAAGAAAGTTGGGTTCTTAATATTTATTGAAATAAAATTTCCTGTTAAACTTAACAAGGCCCAAATAGTTGCAAAAGTACAGTAGCTTGAAGATCAATTGAAAATTCTCAATTCTTCTGTACATTTCTACAATCTGCATTGTCTGTACTGTATTATAAATATTTTTCAGGTATTGATGGCCTTCACGCAAACATTACATCTGTTGCGACCCAGTAAGTGTCCTGGGTTTGCCTATGCCTGGCTGGAAATTGTGAGCCATCGGGTGTTCATTGGGCGTATGTTGGCTATTACACCACAACAAAAAGGATGGTCCATGTACTCCATGTTGTTAGCTGATCTCTTTAAGTTTTTAGCACCCTTCTTAAGGAATGCTGAACTAGCAAAGCCACTAACAATGCTTTATAAGGTAAAGATATCTTCAAAATGATCGTTTTGAAAGATACAATAAAAAGTCTTAGTACATTTACACACTTGTCCTTATAAATGCTATTATTATTATTATTATTATTATTATTATTATTATTATTATCATCATCATCATCATTATCTATTTTTACTGAATTTACTGCTTATGCTCAACTTTACAGGGTACCTTACGTGTGCTGTTGGTCCTTCTTCATGACTTCCCAGAATTCTTATGCGAGTATCACTATGGATTCTGCGATGTCATCCCTCCAAATTGCATTCAGATGCGTAATCTTATTCTGTCGGCTTTCCCTAGAAATATGCGCCTTCCAGATCCTTTTACACCTAATCTCAAAGTTGATATGTTGCCTGAAATTACTGTATCGCCTAAGATTCACACAAGTGTTGCCAACCTCATTCAACCTCCAGAATTCAAGAAAAATTTAGATTCCTATCTAAAAAACAGAACACCTGTAACTTTTCTCTCAGACATGAGAACTTACTTACAGGTACGTGGGTTGTTTAGATTTCTTTAATAGGCAGGAAATATAATGAGAAAACTGTAATTTGGGAAATAAATATTATAGAGGAGAATGATAATTTTAAAAACTTTAGAGCGTAAAAATTAAATAAATAAATATATATATATATATAATATAATATAGTTTTCTTCAAAGCTATCACAATATAGATAAGCTCATGTGCTAAATGATTTTTGTTTTCTCCATAGCAGGTTTCCAATGAACCTGGGATGCATTATAACATGTCTGTGATGAACTCCCTGGTGCTATATGTAGGCATGCAGGCCATTGCACAGATTAATAGCAAGGGTCTCACTCCCTCCATGTCCACAATTGCTCATTCCGCCCACATGGACATATTCCAGAATCTTGGTGTTGATTTGGACACAGAAGGTAAGCAAATCTAAAATATTATGATGTTGATGTATACAATGATGTATGCAACTTTATGAAAAGTGAATTAGGTATTCCCAGTAAGCATACATTGTTGGTTTCTTGTGATTTTAATGGTTTTTTGCCCTGCCCATGTGACATTTGGAGAATACCTCATCATATCATCTTAAAATAATGAACACTTATAAGTTTTGTTGTGTTAGGAAAGTTCCTATTATTATTTTGCCATGGGGTGAAAGATATGGTAGGAAATTCAGAATAGTTACACCACCCTGTAACCACAACTGTTCATATGAGATAAACTTGCCTGAGGATATCTTGATCGCTGTCATGTGTTTGAAATAGTGTATTTAAAGTAGTTACTTATAGATCAATGAAGGAAATGGAATGAAGACAACGAGTAGTAAGAATCATAAATGTCTCACTTAAGTAGCAAATGTATTAACTGTATGTATTGTTAAGTTTGAAAGTCTGGATTTTTGTTTAGATTACTAATCTAAACAAAATTACAGGCAAAAATAATTATATTTTACAACTCTGATGAAAATACCCATACTGCTGTTTTTTCAGGCCGATATCTGTTTTTGAATGCTATTGCCAACCAGTTGCGGTACCCAAATAGCCACACTCATTACTTCAGCTGTACTCTACTGCATCTCTTTGCCGAGGCTAATACAGAAGCCATTCAAGAACAAATTACCCGTGTACTTCTGGAGCGGCTTATTGTTAATCGTCCTCATCCATGGGGGCTACTCATAACATTCATCGAGCTCATCAAGAATCCATCATTCAAATTTTGGAGTCACGAGTTTGTAAAGTGTGCTCCAGAAATTGAGAAGTGAGTGTTTTGATTATGTTTAACAATGAAACTAATAATGTACTAATTCTTCAACATTAGTATACATATTGGTGAAAATAATAGGTTATAAGATTTCTACATATTCTATGCAGTACTGTTCACTGGAACCTCCAAAATTTGGACTTCCTATATAACGAACACAAATAAATAACAAGCTGAGTTTACCAGATCACTCCAAAAATACACACAGATCACAATAGCGTGATATATCAAATGAACAAATCCAAAAGGGCCGTGATGAGGGTTCGAATCTATGCACGGGATGTTCCCCAGCTGCACCTTAGTCAACTGTGCCACGACATGCCACCATGTATTGGCTCAGTTGACTAAGGTGCGGCTGGGAACATTCCATGCATAGGTTCGAACCCTCATCACGGACCTTGTGGATTTGTTCTTGCCAAAAATACTTTGAATATAACTCCAGTTTTTCTATTGTTTACAGTGACATTCAGATTGTCCTGGAAAATAGTTTTCAACTGATTACATTCATTTTCATATTTATGCTATTCTTTAAACTTTTAATCATAAATGTCATATGTTAATTCCATAGCCAATGTAGTTATTGTCATATACCAATTTTACTTATCACCTTGTTTTTATATAAATGCATCTGTATACTGTGGATGTAATTGACTTACCCTAGATACATGAAGAAATTATATCTTTAGGTAATTACTTTTTTTATACAGTGTGAGGTTAATGTATACTAGTGTGATATAGCGTGATAACTCATACGTCAGGCTGCGAGCAGCCGCGTCTAACAGCCTGGTTGATCAGTCCAGCAACCAGGAGGCCTGGTCGACGACCGGGCCGCGGGGACACTAAGCCCCGGAAGCACCTCAAGGTAGCCTCAAGGTAGGTAGGTAGTGGCCTGCAGTTATTAAATCACAATTTCTGCATGATATTACCAGACAAAATAGCAGCAAAGGGATGGATTGCAAAACGAAATCCTTTGAGCTGCACCAGGATCAGATTTACATGTAGTAGGGGTATATATATTTTATTTTAATGTACCAGGGTTTACCAGGGCCTGCAAAGTATGTTAGCCCTATGGAAAGCCCAGGCACTGGGGCCTGCTGAGCCAGTAGACCCCCTGCTTGAAAGCAGGTAAACCGACTACCAGTAGCCGTGGTGAAACTTCGGGGACAGTGAAGGAGGAGAGCCAACACAACCTTGACTAGCCTAATAAGCTGCTAAACTGACCACCTCCATCAAAACAGGGCAAACACCCAAAAGGAAAAAAAGAGAGAAGCCCCCTAAACAAACTGGCAGTCGGAGAGAAAGGTCGGACGTCACATAGGTATCGGGAGACTGCACAAGCCACAGTGCGCCCCCACACCCAATAACACTTCCTTATCCAGGGCAAGACTGAAAGCCCAAGACTCCCCGACATACCCCAAGGGCGAAAACTATGTCAAGCAATGCAGCCCTCATACGGGGAGCGAGTCCCGAACACCCAGGGTAGCAACCCTGACCTTCAAGGTTAGTAATTAGGGAACACCCTGGGTAAAGGTACCCAGGGCACATGCATCTCCAAGTACAAAGAACACCTGGCCACTACACCCCACACAGGGCAAAATCCAGACAGGAAAGTGAGGCCCGAGGTGACTTTCGATCGCACGTACATCAGACGAGAACTGGAGGGGTAGGCGGTTGAGCCGCGGGAGTACAGTGGTACCTCGAAATACGAGTGTCCCTGTATACGAGTTTTTCGGAATACGAGCAGGATTTGCTCGGAAAATTTGCCTCGGAAGGCGAGGGTGTTGATACGTGCACAGGCTGACCTAGCGCTTGGTGGCAAGGCAATCACCCCTCAGTTTATCAGTGTCTCGCGCCCAGTGACTATCCCACCTGAATTCTTCACCAGGATTTTCAGTGTTTTGTTGGATTTTTGGCCATTTGACCATAAAAGTTATTATATATCTCACCATGGGTCCCAAGAAAGCCAATGGTAAGGATCAAGGCAAGAAAGCGCATGTGAGGATGACAATAGAGGAAAAACAAGAGATCATTTATAAGCATGAAAATGGTACACGTGTTGTTGAACTTTGTAGGCAGAACAACAAAGCCACGCCAACAATATACACTATGCTTAGCAAGAAAAAGGACATTATGAGTGTTAAAGTGGCAAAAGGCGTAAGAACAATCACGAAACAAAGACCACAAATACTTGAGGAAGTGGAAAAGTTATTAATTTGGATACACGACAAGGAGTTAGCGGGTGATAGTGTTTCAGAGGCCATCATTTGTGAGAAAACCAGGGTATTGCATGAAGACCTTGTTAGAGAGTTTGCAGAGACTGAGGGATACCTTCTGCAACAGGTGTTTAATTGTGATAAGACAGGACTGTTCTGGTAAAGATTGCATAAGAGGACATACATTACCAAGGAGGAAAAATCATTGCTTGGACACAAGCCTATGAAAGATAGGTTTATGTTTGTGCTGTATTCAAATGCGAGTGGTGATTTGAAAATTAAACCCTTGCGTGTGTATCATTCTGAAAATCCAAGGGTTTTCAAACAGTATAAAGTGCAGAAAATCCAAATGTGTGTGATGTGGACGGCCAATAATACGGCATGGGTGACTAGGATTTTTTTTTTTTTTTTTTTTTTTTTTTTGAGTGGGTGAATGAAGTGGTGTGCCCTGCCATAGAATTATAACTGCAGGAGAAACATTTGCCACTCAAGGCCCTGCTTCTCCTCGACAATGCTCCTGCTTATCCTCCAGACTTGGAAGATGATTTGTTGCACAGATATAGTAATTTTCTCACAATAAAGTTCCTTCCTTTTAACACCATTCCTCTAATTCAGCCTATGGACCAGAAAATCATAGCGAATTTTAAGAAACTTTATGAGAGGGCACTTTTCCAGAAATGTTTTGAAGTGACTGAAGCCACAAACCTCACCCCTCAAAGAGTTCTGGAAACGCCATTTTAACATGTGTAGTGCTTTAAAACTTGTTAACAAAGCCTGGCAAGAAGTGACTCAAAGAACCGTGATCTCTGGCTGGAGAAAATTGTGGCCTGAATGTGTGCCAGAACTAGACCGAGGGGTTTGAGCCTGTAAATGATGTGCCTATTGTTGAGGAAATTGTTACTCTGGGCTTGGAATTGGATGGTGCTGATGTGGAGGTGTTGGTGGAAGAACACAACGAAGAACTGACCACCGAAGAACTCCAAGCCCTTCAAAAGGAACAGCAAGAAGACACAGCTGAGGATGTTTCTCCATTAGAGGAGGATGAGGCAGTACAGAATGTCCCTTCCACAACCATTAAGAAGTGGTGTCAAATGTGGGAAGAAATGCAAACTTTTATTGAAACAACTCGCCTAGAGAAAGCTGTAGTAGGCCGTTGCATAAATCTTTTCAATGACAATGTGATGCCTCACTACAGAGAAATCTTGCAAAGAAGGGAAAAACAATCTTCAATGGACCGCTTTGTTGTATGAAAATCGAGCAGTGAGCCACAACCAGGACCTAGTGGTATGCAGCCAAAACAAGCCAGAGAGTGTACCCCAGAGAGGGCCTCACTGCCTGATGTTATAATAGAAGGGGGCTCCCCTTCCAAACAGTAACACCTCTCCTCCTCCCTCCTCCTCACCATCTTCCATACACCAACAGCAGTCATCAGCCAGGGTAAGTAATAACTTGAACATACTTTTGTAGTGTAGAGTTTGATGAATTAGGTATAAATTTTAGTTTGATGAGTTTTTGGGTAGTCAGGAATAGATTAATTCATCCCCATTATTTCTTTTAGGGAAATTAGCTTCGGTTTACGAGTTTTCGGGTTACGAGCTGTTTCCGGGAATGGATTAAACTCTTAAACCGAGGTACCCCTGTAATACCATAAAAATAGCAGGATTTTTTCCATAGGTCAAGGTAATAAACTCCATTACATCCACATAGAGCTATTATATCTTTATTTGTATCATACATGTAAAACCCAGACAATAATTGTTTAAACTGTTACATGACAATAACTGCATTATCCCGCGAAGCAACATATGACAATAACTGCTGTCTAAGAGTTAATGACTTTGTGGTGTAAATGATAAGAGCACATCGTGTTCTTATCAATGTAATAAAAATGGAGAAAATAAAGAATACCCCAGACCCCCCCAAAAAAACTACTAATGATTATTTGTAGTATTTTATATTCTTAAACAAGTAAGTATACCTTGGTTTTGGGTTACTTAGACGATTTTATATTTATTAGAAAATAAACTAAATTCTTTTTTTCTTACTAGATATGTAATAAGAAACGCAAATTGCAAAATTTAGATTTTTGGCTGCATTTCGACCCTCGGTAGGGATAGGGCCCAAAAAAATGGTGTTGCAGTCAAAGGGTTAAGGTAAGGAATACATTATCCTTTATTATTATTATTATAAGCAAACAAATCATTATATATATTTGTTTTTTCAATATCAGCAAAGATGTATTCTGTCATTTGCAATAAGTTAAACAAATGGGCAATCCAGGTTATTTATTCACCATTCCAGAGCGATATGATGCACATTTTAGGTGTCACTGGGCACAAAGTAATTGATGTGGACTAGTGACATAATCCAGAGTTTATCCAATCTGTCTCTAGATTACCTCCCCAATGGTCGAATAACTGAGAAATCTTATCTGACCAGGAAGCTGGTCAGTTTATCCAAAAATTTGGGTAACGAGGGTTAGATAATTGAGATCTTTGTATATATGCGACAGCTTATACCACCTGAGAACTTGATTGAATTGAGTTGGAGGAATTAGCCTAAATCTGAATACTACTCACATTTCAGGTACCTTCAAGTGTGAAAACAGAAATAGAATTTGAAATACCTTTTTTAAAAGTTATTTTAAAATGTAAATGTTTCTTTATCCTTCTGAATTACTTACAGGTTGTTTGAATCGGTTGCGCGCTCGTGTATGGTGCAGAAGGTATCAACCTCTCGGGAGGGAGAAGCCTGACCACAAATGCTTCAGACATATTGTGCCCCACAAGATACCTGACTACACACATCTCCAACTGAGGCAGCAATCCAAGCACTGTACTTCAAATTACAAGATATAAGAACATATGGCACAGGATTGTGTTACTGCTGACTGTTGGTGCTCTAATTTTCATAATAGAGATCTCAGGCAGCTAAGACTGTCCAAATATGTGAGGTGCTTAGCTAAAAGCTAATTAATGTATTGAATGGAAATGTTAAACATAATGACTTCTCAGACTGTCCTCCAAGGAAGCCGTAAATCGTACTGCTTTAGATGGAGGTGCCAAGTGAAAAGCGAGAGCTATTGCTGTGTTGTGACAAATATGTCAGTGGTGTTTTATATTTGTTTTAAATAGAAGCATTATATGTTATATTCTGGTGCCTAAAGAGACAAACTAGGTATCTGTAAAATACAGATAAAATCTGTTCCCATTTTAACCCACGTGATTTATAAAGTAGAGGGTTAAAAGACAAATATCCTTTATAGAATGCCTAATGATTATTATGCAGCTTCGAGTCATTTCCTAAGGGATTCTTCCTTGACTATAATATATTGAATGTTTTACTTGCTGAACCACAAGCAGCAAGGTTTGCTGTCAAGGTATGTGATTATCTTAAGTCACTTATTTACAGATATTTAATAGTTTGTTTTCCTGGTGACTGGTAAATTATGCAAACTTGAAAGACCAAGAACTGTACAATCTACTTTATTAAGGACCTTCAGAGTGAAGTAAAAGTGCATCCTATAATGGGTTGTGTATTTACAGATTAAATTTCTGTATGAATTAAGACACATGTGAGACAAAGCAGCCATACACAGTGTGTCAAAGTACATAAAATAAAGAAATGAATTCCAGTGAGTGATATGTACCTATATTTTGTGATCTTAACTTCCAGGGAACCATGTGATGAGCTATACCTAAGATGTTTAGATAATATGTGATGTAGATTTCTATGACATGGCCTTTGCCAAGCCGCTTCTGCAGTAGGAAAGTGAGAATCAAAGTATTGGGCATCAACAGAGTTCATTATGAAGAGTTACCTTTAGGTCTAAAAAAGTGGCTCATAATATAATAGTTGAGTGCAATTATATGATGAACACTTGAACTATTAGCTAGTATTTATGCCGGAGTTGAGGAATTCTTCAGTTTGGAGGATTCTCGGAAGCATGGCAGAATTTGACTTGAGTAATAACACTTCATATTTTGCAGAGATGACCATTGACGCAAAGCATGTACAAAATCCCACCCTCCTTGATAGTTTCGTAAACTTCACCTTTAAGAAATAACTTTGTAGGTATTGTAAGAAGTGTAATTAAGATGCCCTGATGCCCTGAGGCTTTCTATCCTGCTGTAAAATTTAATTACACAAGGTTTACAATAGCCACTTAACCAAAACAGATCCGAGGCGTACAGTCAACTTTGCCCATTGTCTCGTGTTCTGTTGCACCAAGTTTTATTTAATTACTTAACCATTCCCAGGTACATCCTAAAGGTGTAGTGTTAAAGCACAAATATAAGTTGTAGTCTAGGTGCTTCAACCCCCAGGCCTTTAGTTAGCCTTTAGCTTTAAAAAATTGCATTTCTTTTGTTACCATTTTGCCAGGGACTATTTAATACTCATGCCTGGGAAGTACTGTATTCATGTTTATGCCTTAAACCCCTGGAAATGTTACGTAAACATAGAACCTGGGAATTAACACTTTCTCTGTTACCTCGCTTCAAAGAACGTCACAGCTCTCTTATGGCTTAAGGAATAAAAAATTTACAATATCGTTAAATCAATTATTATTTTGTATTAATTGTATAATAATAATAATAGAGTTGTTGAAGGTTTGAAGAAGGAAACCTAAAAATTGACCCATAATGTGAGTACTACGTTGTGGCTGTACAGTTCAAGTTTATTTTTGGTGAGGACTTTCTCTAAAGATATGCAGTTTAACAGTTTGTGTCATATTCTTTAGTCCACTGTAAGTTAAGGATGTGAATAAAGGTCTCTTGTAGCAAAGCAAAATATCTTTTATTGATAAATAATTCCTTGTTTTTATTTCATAACAAACCTTTATCAATTATTAGCCTAGTCATGTACATAGTTAACTATGATTTTTCAAATTGATCTATGAATTTACTGATGGTATAAGCAAATGACTGCTCTCCATCTTCCCATTACTTAGACATTAATAAGTTGATATTGTTACTGATGTATTGAACTTTACTCCTGAAAAAGTGGGTTACCCCATTGACAGACTTCATGTGTTTCCATTAACTATACATCTGTCAGTTAAAAATAATACTCCTAATTTTAACTATATTTAATCATTTTTTATCACATTGGCATTCTAATGACATTTAAATGGGTCATCTGTTTTCAGTGTGGGCAATGCTTATTGGGGGACCACCCAGAAATGACCTGCATGAAATAAAATTTTCAAACCACTACCATTAAGTAATAAGGGAAAGATGCAAATTGAAATGAGGATGGCATTCCTTCATAGACAAAGAAACGGATCACAGAACTCGAATGCCCCACCCTATCTCAATTATAATGGCTATGTAGAAGAATAGAAATGACCGAGCTAAACCTTAAATAATCATTAAATCCAGGAGAGGCAAAGAGCAAAAGTCTGTCAGTGAAATAGTGAGCATTCAAAAAAACTTTTTTTTTTATTTTCTATGAAGAGCCCCTCCAGCTCCCTCCAGCTATACTGGGCTGATGTGTATATCTTAGACTGTGGCAACAGTCAATCAATGGAGTTCTAGGCCTACTGGGGACCAGGAGCCAAAACCCTACCCCTTCAGAGAGGCACAAGGAGCAATGGCCTATAGACATCCCCCCCATGTAGTTTGAAGCAGCCTATGGGCACCCAGAAAGGTAGGACTAAAAACAAATCACAGATGGTTAAACATTTTAAACCGAAAGCCGAATAAGCAAGCAGAACTTACCCAATCAGAAAAAAAGCATGAATCACCACAGCTGCCACGCTTTTGTACAACTCCCCTCTACCCCCTTCCCCGGGAATGGTGGGGGGAAGAGGGGCCAGACCTCCAATGCCGGCAACCCAACCCCAGTTCTGAGGCTGTTGTGTTGGGTGGCGGTTGATCAACTCTGGCTCCAATCTTCTAGCAGTGCTGTGCTTTATGGTGTGGTGGTGTGCAAGCCAGATGATATTCTAGAAGTACTGAAGCTGTATGTGCCTAGGGTTCCCTTCCCTAGGTGCCCTTGCAATTTGGGGTATCTGGGACTCCTTGCAGTTTCTTCCATAAACTGTTCGGAGGCTACCTCTGCATAATTCTTTTGCTGTTTGTTGATTGCCTGCCCTTGGGGTCAGCTGGGGTTTTTTCCTACCCGTTTTGACTGGTAGGAGGTAGTATCGTCGCTGGCAGGGGGCACAAGGTACTGTACAGCTGTCTTGTAATATGCATAGCAGCCGGTTCTGTTCCTCCTGGAGACGTTGTGCTTTTGCAGGGTGTTTCTTTTGTTTGTCTGGTTTGGCTGTAGGACCACTTATATGATTTTGGTGGCCTTCCACTAGGTCCCCATGATTGCACACGTCACAGGGGCTCAGCATTTTGTTTGTTTGGTAGTTCTGAGTTAACCAGTTAGCAGTACCTTGCCTGGGCTTCCCTTAGCGATCAGCCTAAGGGCCCTGGAAACCCCCATTAGGGTCTCATTGGTCCAGTAGATGCATCCTCCGAGTCCCATCTCGCTTCGTTCGAGTTTGAAGGTTGCTCTGTCCCCTTGTCTCAGGGTGACACTCGCTGTCTTTGCCTCTGCCATGCTGCCTGTTGGATCAATGATATCTTTGACCCGGAGTCCTACGAGTGATGTTCCTTGCTTGTACTCCAATTTACCCAGTCCGCTGATATTGATATTCGGGTGTAGGCAGCCTCATCTTCAGAATTGGGTCTTTTCCAGCTCGCCAGGTTTGGATTCTTGGTGAATGGAGGAAGTCCCATTTGGTTCCCTCTCAGGTTTGAACTTGGCTGGGTCTTGTATGGGACTCTCCGACCACTTCCTTGTCTCTTCCTCCACTAGGTCCCCGTGATTGCACACGTTGCAGGGGCTCAGCATTTTGTTTGTTTGGTAGTTCTGTGTTAATCGGTTAACAGCCGCATTGCTGTAGCTGCAGTCCCGCCTTCGGCTGCTTTTGGAGGGCACTCTGCGGTTGCTCGAGCAGTTGTGCAGGAGTCTGAACTTTGCTGTGCTGATCAACCCATTGGGTCGGATCTGGCTTCGGCGTCTGTTCTGGTCCTTCGGGGCGTCCCTTCCGTCACTTGCAATCGTTGGGTTCGGACCCCGGGGTTCTTGCATCACTGGCTTTTCTGGGTTCAGTGCCATGGTGCCTACCCGAGCCCTCGGTTGATGTGTACATGGATGCATCATCTCTCAGCTGGGGCTTTGTGGCCAGTGCTCACCAGGCCAGCACCGGTCAGGGTCGGTGGGGTCCGTCCTTCCGTCGGGCTCACAGCACGGTGTGTGCGGGAGCTCACGGTGGCGTGGCTTTCACTTCAGAGCGTTTGCATCACTTCTAGATCGACGATTCAGCTCCATTCAGACTGCTCCCCGGTGGCTCATTGCCTGAACCACAATTCATTGCATAGGTTTGATGTGGTCCTTTGATCTTTGGGGCTGGTCGCATCGGGTGACTCATCTGCTGAGTTCTCGGGATTTGGCTCTCTTGACGGTTCATATCCAGGGGGTGTTCAATGGCCTGTCCCATTTCATTCCCCTGTCCATTGAATGGAAGGTCGATGATGCCTCGTTCCTTTGGCTATGCTGGACGGTTGGCCCAGAAGTGGACCTCTTTGCGTCAGCGTGGTCGAGGCGTCTCCCAGTTTATGTGGCGCCCTTCCCCATCAGGGTCGATGCCTTTCGACTGGATTGGTCAATGTGGGGTTACCTGTACCTCTTTCTTGCCCCCCCCCTCCCCTTTCCCCCATCCCCATTTGGGTTATTGCTCCAGGTCCTGGCTCGCTTGGAGACTTACCAGGGAAGAGTAGTCCTGTTGGCCCCTTGGTGGCTGGCCCAGCCTTAGTTTCAGGCGCTGCTTGCTTGGTGTCGGTCTTCCCGCGACTTAAGCATATCGGTCCGATTCCATACGGGGCTGGTTCAATACTCTCTGAACTTCATGTCTGGTCTTTTTGATGCAGGTTTATCACTAATTGTATGGTGATCAGGTGGCCTCATTGATGGTGTCCCACCTGCGAGTCTCGTCTTGGCGGCAGTATGAAGTTTCCTGGCGGTCCTTTCGGCATTTCTTGACTCTTCGTAGGTTGTCTTCAAATTTCTGATCAGGGTGTTTTGTCCTTTCTCTTTTGGGCGCCTAACAGCTGGGTGGACAGCGCTTTGGATTCGTAGTCTTGAGGTTCCGGGTTCGATCCCCGGTGGAGGCGGAGACAAATGGGCAAAATGTTTCTTTCACCCTGATGCCCCCGTTACCTAGCAGTAAATTAGGTACCTGGGTGTTAGTCAGCTGTCACGGGCTGCTTCCTGGGGGTGGAGGCCTGGTCGAGGACCGGGCTGCGGGGACACTAAAATCCCCGAAATCATCTCAAGATAACCAAGATAACCAAGTAGGAGTAGAGTCCTATGCATGCCTCTGTATGACTAACCATCCTGTGTGATGGGGATTTTTTAGCATCACCTAGTTAGCTTCTTTTTGACACACTGTACTCCACTTCATATAGTCTAGGGTAGCTGCACTAATGCAGATGTACCTAATAAAAAAAAATAGATTCACTAGGAAAAGATAAAAGCCTAATATGTATGAATACACTCTGGCTTTCTGTCCCCCGACGCAATTAATTATTAATATAAATTAAATTACATATATCTTTAGATTTTTTGAGCATCTTCTTTCCAATTTTTAACTTGTGGAAACGAAAAGTCGAATGTTTATATTTTCATGTTTTTAATACATTTAAAACTAAAGTGGGATGACAGGATGAATTACAGGTGTATATGCATTATATGTGGCAGTTCATTATACAAAATGAGATGTTTTGGTGACGACACTGAAGATGATGCCTACTACAGTATCAGTGGTCCAAAGACAATTGCAGTTGAGAGTATCGGTGCATATGAAGATCTGCAGCTCGAAACTATGATGTCTGGAAGCACAGTTTCTCACTTAGGTGAAGTAGGGTGCCAATGTCGTCCCTTGGCGGAGGTAGGGTTGCATCGTTGTCTCTAAGGTGGGGGTAGGGTAGCAGCTACATCCTTGAGTGAAGGTCACTCAGGGACGAGCAGCTGGCAGGGTAGTGGTGATGCCTCCAGCGGTGCCATTACCTCCTGGGGCAGAGCCGGGTCCCCGTACAGATGATCAGGAAGATGGTTGATGATGGCTGTCAGCAGGAGGTGGTAATCCTTCTCGGACAGCCGGTGGCCTGGCGGACATCTCGCCTGCAAAGGAAAGGTAATACTCAACCTCGGTATTCAGTGGGTGTTTAATAGTTAGTGTATCCCTTTAACTTTTTTTATATAGGGGGTAACGACAACCCATAGATGGTATGCGCCCATCTCTTTAATTTACTCTCGTCTATCCTCAACATATATACAGTGAGTCAAAGTTGAGACAGTTCCTCATTGCTTGAGGGGCATTTTTATTCACCATGTTCTCTAAACTCATTTCATAACTTGTAAAATATTCTTCCTGTCCTTATCCTCGGAAGCTCTCGTATACACTTTCAGAACGTAATATCACAATAAAGGGTGTCATCACTGGCTTCTATTATAGGTGGTGCTTCATAAAACGGCACCACTGGCTCTAGTAATATAGTTCTAGCATCATCGTCGAATTAAGGGAAGAGGACAAGGAAAAATAACGCTCCAATTATTTTTTGTTTACACTGACCGACACAATAACATTTGAATGGTGAGTACAAAAACTGGCACGGAGCGGGAAAGTAGCGACCATGACCGCTCACCACACATGGACATGCAAGCAAAACACTGAACTATAAACAATAACTTATTCAAGATGGTACGCACACGATAACACAAACACACACACACAGACACATTAGTTTCTGCTGATAGGTGACATTCATTTCGCCATTATACGTCCCGATTAACCCTTCACCGGTACGCATCCGATCCCACGATCGTCATCGCCCCTAAACAACAACACATACACTGCATAAAAGAAAGAATATAGAGCGCACACATGATAACGTAAATAGGTAGGTACCCAGGAGTATCCTGGATATCCTGGGGAAGGTCAGTAGTTGGACTTGGAGGACTTAGATAAGCATAAGTAATGGCATCCAGATCTCGACATCGAGAAACCAAATAAAATCTAAAAACACAAATGTCAGAAATGGCAAGAGGAGCTTTTGTACTTCAGTTTAAAAGCCGTAAATAAATGGAAAGGACTGGATGAGGAAGTTTTTGAAGTCAATTTGTCACACAGCTTTAAATGTAAATTCGGTAAGAAAATGAATGACATGGGCACATCTAGATGAGAATATAAACACACAAACATCTAGAAGTGTATATCATACAGAACATTAATGCACCTCTACGTATGTGTCAATAGGCCTTCTGCAGTGTCCTTTATTCTTATGTTCTTATGTACAATTAGGAGAGCACACACACACACGCAACTATACTTATGTGTATACCCTCATCGGCCAACATTCGCAAGCGTCAGCTTCAGCTCGTATAATCTTTTAAACACCCTATTAGCAAAGCCTAATGTTCTTGTAAAAATTTAACAAGACAAATGAAACATAAATAAAAAAGCACTATACTAAAACATTGCCACAACCCCAAGAAATGTTTTAACTTAAATAAGAGGTTACATCTCCACCAAATAAATGTTCTTATTATTAATATCCACTAGCAAATGTTAGAACGAGTTATAAAGTCCCTATTATAACGGAGTATTAAAACGGAGCCTACGGAGTATTACAACCCTTTCTTTGGCTGTGGAGAAGGTGAGAGAAGAGGGAAAATTTTAAGAAAAATATATATAGAGAGTAAGTTGCCTAAGTATGTTTTCTAGCAGACTCACCTGAGATGCCAGGTCGAGCTTTGAGGTGGAGATCTTGTGGTGTAAGTAAGGAATTGCAGCAGAGGCAGGCATGAAACTGGCTACATTACTTGCAACTGCTGCCGTCTCTGTCCGCTGTCCTTTGACCAGGCAAGCCACTGCTAACCCAATGTGACCCATCGCCCGAGATATTTTGGCTACCTCAACGTCAGTTGCTTCATAAAGAGATTCATGAGAGTAATGCAAGCTTGCTGGGTCCTGGAGGACATGATGCTGGGTGAAGTAACTTGAGGGCTCCAGAATGACCTCTTGGGAGACAGAGGACCGACGAGAGATGTGTCTTCTGCGTGTTGAGCTGGAGGTGCGAACATATCTGCTGCCACGGTTGTTTTTATTTTCAGACAGGGAAGCGTAATTTGGAGGTGGTTGTTTGAGACTAAAGGTGCAGTCGTAGCAGGGAGGAGACCCTGGCAGCCCGGTACACACACATTTCCCACTCATGTTCTTCCTATTCAGAAACCTCTGCATCATCTCCAACCACCGATGTCTTCCAATTGCTACTGATAAGGTTTAAGAATTGTTCGATTTTTGTACAATTGTGCTGAAATATTCTTCAAATATCACAGTTACTTGTGATATACACAACACCTTAGGGCTGAGAATGTTTATCAGAACAGTGTCAAAGCTGTACACTGGCAAGCTCAACAGGCAAACTTATCAAAGTCCCGTGAGAGGTTGCACCGTCCGCGCCAGCATGTGGGAGAACACTCTGCGCCTCGAGAGAGAGTTGGCCCTGATATGGTGTTGGACGAACCTTGCAGTTGCCAGTACGCAATTCTGACGGCAAAATTGTATTTTTAACAGTTGTAATTGAATAATTATATTTTTATCAGTCATTCTAAAATACACGAATGAGAGTATATATATATATTTACTGAAAAATGAATCATTATTAACGTTTACTTAAAATGCCTTCCTGGAATCTTTGAGGTCGCAATACGTCATTGTTATGTCGTGCTTACCTCGAAACTGGACATCATTTCCAGATACTAATAAGATTTATCAACACGTTTTCAAAGACTGATATATATGCATTAAGAAACTTAGCGATGGGTTAAAAACTATAAAATATTAGAATAGACTAGGCTGTGACCAGTGTGTTTAAACACAGTTGCCAAGAGTGCTGCAACGTGAGGTGCAAGCCCCACCAGAGTACACAAACGTTCCTGGCTCCGCCAGCCTCCTCTCCACGTGCTGCCGGCTTTATCACTGACTTTGTTCTTTATCAAGCGGAGCTTCTAACACTCTATCAAAATTAATTGAAGTAGGGGGAATTGTGTTATTAATTATATTTGTATGACCTGATGATGTATGATGTCAATTAATTGTCAGCAAAACACACTCTACTCCAAATTGTTATTGAATGTCTAAAGAAATGAAAAATATTTCTAATTTAGCTCTTATTATTATTATTATTATTATTATTATTATTATTATTATTATTATTATTATTATTATTATTATTTTCTACCACAGACGTGGCCACACATTTACAATGCTAACCAGCATATATACATTTTCTTCTGTCCTCCATGGACAGGGTGAAAGATTTGTCACATACAGTTCAGAGATTTATTGAACAACCACAGAAGGTGATCGTAGTGCTTTTAAAATGTTAGGCTAAGCTACATACGTAAATACATAGATACATAGATTTATGAATGCATTAATGTGAATTTATAATGGTGAAATGCAATTCTGATCAGCTTTATACTTTATACACACACACATACATACATACACACACATACATACATACACACACATACATACATACATATATACACATATATTTGTCTCTTTTACTCTGACGGGGTGAGATAGCTGACAAGAGAAACTAGTGTGCAATTAAGAAATTAACCACTGAAGGTGATTAAGATGCTTTTACAAGCTCAGGTTATATAGTTACATTACATGGTTAATCTAGGGTACAAGTCCAATATATCATCAAGTGTTCCAGTACTCATATAGTAGTTACAGAGTTCAGCATACCTCAGCCCAGGAGGGCGAAAGTCAGACAATATGGGACATTCTACAACATAATGTTCAAGTGAGTGCATGTTTTCTCTTTCACAAAATTGACACATTGTGTACTCGACATTTGGGTTTTGAGAAAGTTGCCAGATACGTCTATATCCCAGGCGTATTCTGGCCACTATAGCATCACATTGCCGAGTTCTTGCTCTATTAGTCCCATATGTGAATGTCTCCTCACGATATCTATCATAATATTTAATACGGCAACTTTCAGGTCTTTGTGAATTTGTTATGTCGATGAGATCTTCATTAGATATGTGTTTAAGTATTCTCTTTGTCACTGCTAGTGAAACACCCATATCAATTTCTACTACTGGTTTCCTAGAAGCTGTCTTTGCAAGCATATTAACAGTGTCATGCCTTGAGATGCCAACATGTGATGGTATCCATTTAGCTCTTGTAAGAACATAAGAATTAAGGAAAATGCAGGTCTATTGGTTCATACGATGAAGCTCCTATTTATATCCACAAAACTCAATAATATTGATATATATCTCAGCCCCTCCTCCGAATAGACAGTACGTTTTAATACTAAATGTAATAAGTACAATCCTGGCTACCAGTTTAGCACATAAATACACTAAATCGCCAGAATCGCACCAAAATATTGTGAATATTAGAGTTTACCTGAAAATCTGTATAGAAAACCACGACCTAACCTAACCTTAATGTAGGAGGACAAGCATTTTATTGCTTCTTAATTACAATTAGTACTTAACCTATTGCTATATTGATATTACAGTTTTATAAAACTAATAAAACAAAACTAAAATCTTTCAATAAATTATAAAATAACTCAGGATCTCTTGAGGTTATCTTGAAATGATTTCGGGGCTTAGTGTCCCCGCGGCCCGGTCATCGACCAGGCCTCCACCCCCAGGAAGCAGCCCGTGACAGCTGACTAACTCCCAGGTACCTATTTACTGCTAGGTAACAGGGGCATTCAGGGTGAAAGAAACTTTGCCCATTTGTTTCTGCCTCGTGCGGGAATCGAACCCGCGCCACAGAATTACGAGTCCTGCGCGCTATCCACCAGGCTACGAGGCCCCGATTGGGGCCTCGATCCAGGTGATGGATCTCCCAATCCTGAGCACTCCAGGTGCAAACTCTGTGAGCAGGAACTGCGGCATGATCTCCCACACTACATCACCGAATGGCCAGTTATTAGACCATCAGACCCATTGGCATGAGGTACCTGGAACTTTGCAGTTACTTTATTATCTCTCGTGTTTTTGAGGATATCTTCATAATGTACCCAAAATTTGCCAGTGTAGGCTACTGAACATATGGCCCTGTATGACTAACCATCCTGTGTGATGGGGATTTTTAGCATCACGTAGCTAGCTTTTTGTCATACTCTGTACTTCCCTTCATATAGTCTTTTAATTTTCTCAACACAATTTATACTTTAATCTCAATTAGTATTAAGTTTTTGTTTTAGTGTTTTTCCTGCCCGAAACGCTTTGCGTAATGGTGGCTTTAGGCATTGTGTGTACTAGCTCAATCTATAAATCCATCAACGTTTTGTATCTCACCTTGTATGTATGTACTTTACCTGAATAAATATTTGTATTTGTAAATATTTGTATTTGTATTTGTAGTCTAGGGCAGCTGCACAAATGCACATGTACCTAAATGTGTTATTAATAATAAAAATAATCCAAGAATGCTTATTCAGTTTGTCACGAACATTTGCTATTCTGAGTGCAGAGAGGTTATATAATAGAGAGAGAGAAATATCATATAAAAACAATGAGAGAAAATACCTGTTTACAGAGGCGGTATGTCAGTTGTCTGCTAGCAGACCGCAGGTCGTTAATATCCCTCCGCCGTGCAAAGTAGTATGTTATATATTTGGTGATTATGGATACTCGTTAAAATATATATAAACGTTTTGTTAATGAAAAGTGAACTCATTTATATTTGTTACAAGTAGAGTATTGTTAAAAGTTAATATTCAGAGATTATTCAGTGACGATTAGATATATGTTGAGGGGCGAAAGTCGGAGTAGACCTGATGGCGGAGAGGCAACTACACGTTGGACAGAGGCTCTCGGTTCTAGCCAGTTTTTCACTACACTAGACAGTCAGGTAAGTAATAGTTCACATTAATTTAACTTGCAGGATATCATAATGTCATTTGAGTAAATACGGAGTACTTACATAGAGAGAGTTCAGGTTTCAAATTATTTTTCTGTACTCGCCTAGTTGATGCCTTGATGATGGTACCTGAGCGGGCAGCCATTTGACTTAAGTGTTCTAGACTAAGGTGTCTTTTTCCATAAATATAGTCATTATGAAGATTTTGTCTACATCAATATTTCTGGTTCTTCTGCATTATGTAAAGTTACTGAAGTGAGGTGTGGGAGCTCTCAAAGTGATTAATCACTTTATATGTTATTGTATTTTTTTTGTTTGTGATATATACAAGAGTTGTTACATTCTTGTACAGCCACTAGTACGCGTAGCGTTTCGGGCAGGTCCCTGGAATACGATCCCCGCCGCGAAGAATCGCTGTTACAACCAAGTACACATTTTACTGTTGACTTAAACAGAGGCTACAGTTAAGGAATTGCGCCCAGTAAATCCTCCCCGGCCAGGATACGAACCCATGACATAGCGCTCGCGGAACGCCAGGCGAGTGTCTTACCACTACACCACGGAGACTGTATGTAAATATATTTTAGCTGTTACATCACCTAGGTGTTTCTGTGCTCCATTGCGGATTTCCCCTGGACCTTTATCTGTAGGCTACTGGTAATCATAAATCCCTAAGTGTAACCAAGCGAAACTATCCATAGGATAATTCCTAGCCTAAGTAAGGCGAGCCGAGAAAAGCCAGTAACAGTTTATACACGTAAGAGCTCTTCACATCTAAGAATCTATAAAGGCAGTTTTATTTATCCAATATATTTCATTGGCAAACAGTGACAATTTTCGTCCAAGTATAGTGTTCGTTTCTCTCTGAGCATATAGAACACTGTATATGTGACAGGCAACGGTTACTTGTTAAACTGCTTTCAATGATTGTTTGATCACTTCGCCAAATTTAATTTTCTGTTTCCAGAGACAGCAGTACTGAATTTTATATAGGCTAAATGATGTGCAATGTTATATTTTAATTGGAATCTTGCATTTTTAATATTCTAAATATAATTTGTAGTATTTTTCACTTTTGTAGTCATTTGTGGGAAATCTTGAAGGTTATTTTGCATGAAGCCAATAACCTCTTCGATTGGCACCTTTCCGCAAATATTAGCATCATCCACAGATTTGAGGGTATTGCTTGTGACATTCTCAAAACGTAATTTCATTTCGATCGTATTGTAGTTAGAACGACTCTGCTTCGTGTCATCGAGCCCTAGTTGCTGGGCGCCCGTCATCTCAGCCCAATCTCCCAAGTCCAGTGTTGGGCGGTCCTTGGACTCCTTCCCATGACACCCCTCCCCGAGGTGTCGTCGTCGCCTCCCTCAGTATATCCCACAACACCGCTGGCATCAGTTCCCGGAGGCAACTGGGCACTCCCGAACACTAAGTCAGTTTAGTTAAAGGAATAGGTTTTCTCACTCAGATTTAACTTTGAATAAGCAATATAGTTTATAACCAATTTATATGCAATGGCCAGTTCTTTGTTTAATAAGTTGATGTTTGTTACCTGCATACTGGCCAATGTTCAACATTTACACAAG